TTGATGAATATATTAAATAATACTGGTCCCAGTACCGACCCTTGAGGCACTCCACTAGATACAGGCCTCCAACTAGACTCCGCCCCATAGACTACAACTCTCTGGCTTCTCTCCTTCAGCCAGTTCACAGTCCACCTCACTACCCGATCATCCAGACCACACTTCCTCAATTTAGCCGCAAGGATGCTGTGGGAGACCGTGTCAAACGCTTTGCTGAAGTCAAGGTAGACCACATCCACCGCTCTACCATCATCCATCCACCGTGTTATTTCCTCATAAAAGGCTACAAGATTGGTCAAGCACGACTTCCCCTTGGTGAAGCCATGTTGACTGCCCCTCATAACCCTCTTATCCTTGATATGCCTTAAGATGGCACCAAGGATAAGGTGTTCCATCACTTTCCCAGGAACGGAGGTGAGGCTAACCGGTCTATAGTTACCCGGGTCCTCCTTCTTGCCCTTTTTGAAGACAGGAGTGACATTTGCTTTCCTCCAGTCCTCAGGCACCTCTCCCGTTTCCCAAGACTTGGTAAAGATGATGGAGAGCGGTCTAGCAATGACCTCAGCCAGTTCCCTCAGCACCCGCGGGTGCATCCCATCTGGACCCATGGATTTATGGATATCCAGATTGCTCAACTGGTCTTTAACCCATTCCTCATCAACTAAGGCAGACCGCTCCGTTGACCTATCTTCATCCGGGGTCTCAGCGGTACAGGGCTCTTCAGGACTGCCTCCAGCAGAGTAGACAGAGACAAAGAAGTCATTCAGTAACTCTGCCATCTCTGTATCTTCTGTCACCAGGGCACCCGTCCCGTTCATCAGCGGGCCTACATTGCCTCTGGTGTTAGTTTTACGTGCCATGTATTTGAAAAAGCTCTTTCTGCTGTCCTTGACCCCTCTCGCCAGCTTTAATTCCAAGGAGGCCTTAGCCATCCTAGCAGCTTTCCTACATCCTCTAGCAGCAGCCTTATATTCTTCCCAAGTGGCCAGCCCTTCCTTCCATGACCTGTAAACTCTCCTCTTCCACTTGAGCATACCGAGCAATTCCCTATTTAACCACGCAGGTCTCCTGACCCTCTTCCTCGACTTCCTACGTGTCGGGATGCTCCGATCTTGAGCTCGGAAAAAGCAGTCCTTGAACGTCAACCAACTATCTTGGGCCCCTTTCCCTTCAAGCAGCCTAGCCCACTGGATTTCCCCTAGCAATCGCTTGAAGAGGCCAAAGTTTGCCCTGCTAAAGTCCAGGGTTGCGATTCTACTTGCTATTCTACTGACCCTACCACACAAGATCCTGAATTCTACCATCTCGTGGTCGCTGCAACCAAGGCAGCCCTCAACCTTCACTCCTTCAACCAGACCCTCCTTGTTAGTGAGGATGAGATCCAGCAGCGCACCTCTCCTGGTTGGCTCATCCACCATTTGCATGAGGAAGTTATCATCCATACACTGGAGGAACCTCCTGGACTGCGGCTGGGTTGCCGAGTAGTCCTTCCAGCAAACATCAGGGAAGTTAAAATCCCCCACGACGACCACGGCCTGTGACCGTGAGGCCGCTGTCAGCTGCCTGTAGAAGGCCTCGTCAACTTCCTCACCCTGATCCGGTGGCCTGTAACAGACCCCCACAACAGTATCGCCCCTGCCAGCCTGCCCCTTAATTCTCACCCACAGACTCTCGACTCGCTCATCATCTGTCCCCGGACAGAACTCAACGCATTGTAGCTGCTCTCGCACGTAAAGAGCAACCCCACCACCCCGCCTGGCTGGCCTGTCTTTCCTGAAAAGGACATAGCCCTCCATGACTATATTCCAGTCATGTGAGCTGTCCCACCACGTCTCTGTAATTGCCACCAGATCACAATCTCCCGACTTAACACAGGTTTCTAGCTCCTCCTGCTTATTTCCCATGCTGCGCGCATTGGCGTACAGACATTTCAGGGAGCGAGCCGAGCACACCGATTTCACCCTAGGATTACAGGAGGCCTCCCAGTCTTCATCAATTCCGGAGCGCTGTCCCACTGAGGCAAGCCGAGCTACAACCCCATCCCCCTTCAAATCTAGTTTAAAGCTCTCCAAATGAGCCCCGCTAATTCGTGCCCCAGCATCCTTTTACCTCTGTGCGATAAACCTTTCCCACATGCCAATGTCCAGGCCGGTGCCCTATAAAACCAGCCGTTATCAAAGAATCCAAAGCCCTGCCTGGAGCACCAGCCTCGAAGCCAATCATTTATGGATTGCATTTTCCCATTCAGTCCCACATCATCAACAGAAGATGGAAGGAGTTCTGAAGGTTTTGGATGGCCTTTGGGTATCCTTGGGACCTGCCTGCTGATTGTGATGGGGATCAGCATGTTGGCACACACACAGAGTGTGTTTTACCCACCACCATTTTGTCTGATCCCGAAATTTAAGCAGAGTCAGTTTTGGGTCTTGTCTGGGGTTAGACAACCATATGGGAGGACCAAGAGGTTTTCCCCAAGGCTGGACAGCCATGACTGGCAGGGCATGTGGGACAGTATGGGCAAGTATCTAGTCCACTGGGCCCCTCCAGTGCTTTGGAAGCATTGGAGATGGAAGGCAGCTACAAGTTGCAGAAACTGCTGAAGGGGACAGTGAATTATTTTGAGCCTGGTGGGCCCATGACCCTTAAGGCCATCAGAGCAGAGATGCAACATAGAGATGGACTCATGATCAAGGGGTGGACTTAGCAATGGACACTATTGCCCAGGTTATTCACAAGTGTGAACAATGCACACAGCCTCTCCTGCTCTGAAAGACTGTTACAAGAGGTGGAGCCTGACATCATGGACCAGATAGACTCAGCAGCTTTATAGTGACTGGTCCAAGCACTAAGATAAGAGTGCACTTAGATAAGAATGATGGTATATAGAAAATGTGGGATCTGAGCATGACGTGAATGGTATGGAATAAGGGGTGGATAATGTCCTGGGTTTAGCAGTGGCAGTCATTTTTCTCTTTCTTGGTAGCTGGTGCAGTGCTGTGTTTTGACTTTCAGCTGGGAACAGAGCTGATAAAAATGATGTTTTGGTTTGGCCAAGGACTTTGTGGGCCTCATGCTCTGCCAGGGAGGAGGGAAGCCAGGAGGAAGCAGAGACAGGACACCTGACCCAAACTGACCAAAGAGGTATTCCATACCACAGCACGTCATGCCCAGGAGGTAACTGGGGAGTTACCTGGAAGGGGCTAGAGTGGACTGCAGGTTTGGAGGAGGTATCGGTCGGTGCTTGATCGGGCTGGGGGGGCAAGTTATCGGTCGCCTGGTGATGAGGTGTTGTATTCTCTTCCCTTGTTATTTCCTTTATTATTACTATTATTGGTGGTAGCAGTAGTGATTTGTGTTATACCTTAGTTACTAAACTGTTCTTATCTCAACCGGTGGGAGCTGCATTCTTTTTGGTTCTCCTCTCTGTCCCTCCAGGAGTAGGGGGAGGGCAAGAAGGGGGAGGAGTGAGTGCACAAACTGTCTGTCAGGGTTTAAACCAGGACATAGATGTTCCTGTCAATACAGTGGTGAAAGAGAAGAAGAAACAAAGGAATAATCCTTCCTAATCAAAGGCTTTGTTACTTTAAGGGGTACTTTGTTTAACTACCTGAATGTCTCAAGGGGTTTGCTAATTACAGGGGTACTTTGTTTAACTGCTTGAATGCCTTAAGGGCATCAAGGTAATCAAGAGATACATTCTGTTTAACGGGATGAGGTGAAACTTGTGTACTGAATAAGTAACTATATAAGAAATGGAATTTAGGGGGCTAAGATGGTGGTTAAGCTTGTGACAGACATCCCCTGTTAATGTATTGCCAAGGAATACAATAACTTTTTAAGATGTTTCTTCACCCGAAGATAAGACCCCAGCAACAGGAGAACAATGAAAAGGAACCACATCGATATTCGGGTGAAGGAGACGACAGGATTGTCTGAAACCCAAGACCGAGGAGTATAAGAGACTGTACCCCAGAAATCTCGGTGTGTGTCTTGGGTGGAGCGCAGACTCCCCGGCGCACCCAGCACTGCTTGCTTATTGCCTCTCGATATTAATCAATTGTAATAAAAAAATAATTAAATCAGATCATGGCCAAGACGGAATTTTTATAACAGATATTCTCATGTTGCTCATCGCTGAATAAACATACCTACTTTACAACTCTAATTGACTGATTGGTTGTAAAGTCCTTTCTCCACACGTTAATGCTCTTCAGGTACTCCACGTAGGCCTCCTGCCAGAGAGATGGGGATTGAGCCGAGGTCCCCCAGGGGGAACATGGAACCCTGAGGTACCCCCCCTCCCCGGAGCCCCAGATAGCCCCGACGAGGGGCCAGGCTGCGCCAGGGAGGGGGGCAGGATCGTGCCCATCCCCGGGGTGTCTGGGCTCTGGGCTGGGCGGGGGGTGGCCCGGGGAGACACACACCTCCGGACACCCTATGGAGTTGGAGGGACCTGGCGTTTCCAGTGCCGGCTGTGCCGGGGGAAGCCGACGGAAGGCCGGGCACGGCGTGCGCGGGGAGGCCCGGGGGAGTCCCGCCGCCCGCTCACCCGTGTCCGGCCGGCGCTACCCATTTCCAGGGCGCTGCTCGCCGCCCTAATGGCGGTCTGCGGGGCCCGGCCTGCCCCTGGCCCCTTCGGGGCCCGCTACGCTTGCCGCGACCATGGCGGCCGCCGCCCGGAACGGCGCGATCGGGCCGCGGCTTGCGGGCTGGGGAGCGCGGCGGTCACTGACCGGCTGCGGGGTCCTCCGGCCGACAGGGGGCGCTGCGCCGGGTGGGGCCGGGCCAGGCCAGGCCCACGGCGGCGATGAAGCGCGATTTGCGCGGACGGTTTCTGGCGGTCCCTGGCGGCTTCGGTGTGGAGCTCCCCGGCACGATGGCTCGCGGGGATGAGGCGGTGTCACAGTCGAAGTCGCTCACGGGGTGGGTCCCGGCGGCTGCCGCCTGGACACGTCCCGCCGCCCTTGGCGGAGCACCGGAGGCAGGTAAAGCGAGGTTCGGCCGGGGCGGGAGGAACTGGGTGGTGGGGCCGCCCTGGGGCGGAAGCCAGCAGACGGGAGCGAGGGGTAAGCCCGCACCCCGCGGGCATCCACCGGCACGGACTGCGGGCTGGTCCTGGCGGGCATGACACCTCCGAGCTCTGCCGCCGCCTCTCCGTTCGGCTGGGGCGCGGACCGCCGCTCCCGGGGTCGGTACACCGGCAAACAGGCCTGGGGTTGCCGGTTTGCGGAGATCGTTTTCCCTTGTAAGGAGTAGAGGTTCCTGGTGTCAGTAACCAGCAAGGTAAGAGGGGTTGGGGCAGTACGGCAGGGCGAGCGGGTGGGAGCTGGTTCTTCCCTCCATTTTCCGGTGCTGACAATGGTTTGGCGGCAGCCGATAACCGAGCCCGTGCGGCTGCGGTGGGAGATAAGCTTGAGTGTGGAACGGTTCGAAGTTGGGCATCTGAAGATCAACTGGGCGCTGCAGGTGTGACCCGTGCTTGGGCAGGTGGCCCGGAGGGTGCAGAGTGTTCCAGGAGTTTTCTCTTATGGCACAATGGAGTGATGGAGCCATGCTCTGCAGAGCTGGGATGCCATGGGATGGGGAAGATGTTGCAGGTGGGAGAGCAGCACAGTCAGCGAGCTGGGAGCAGGAGAGCTGCTCTAGATCTGCCCCACTGCACCAGGATGGTCCTGTGGCACATCCCAGCTACCTGCTTGCTGCTGGGCACCTCTTAGGCTGAGGGTTGCCACCACTAGCTATAAGTACGTTGGAGATAAATGCTAGGGAGGGAGAAGATCTGCTTAAGCCAAGGGATGCAAAAGCACAAACGTGCTGGCATGAGTCTTGGGAATGCCGCAGCTGGGAGGAGGTTCTTCTGCAGGGGCAACCAGGAAAATCAGAGACTTTGGGGGTCAACTAGTTGCAGAGCAGTGTCCTGGTCTGCAGGGAAGGGTCACAGGGAAGGTGTCTTGCTTCCTGCTTGGTTTTTCCATTCTTATTTTGAAGATGGGACTCTGGAGGCAGCCTGGATCAAGGGAAGGGGAATGTCTTCCCGCATGCTGGTGCTGTCCGGCTGTAGCTGGTACTCCCGTGGCAGGCACCCAGCAGCTGCATTCAACCCTTTTCTGGCAGGAATTGGTAGAGCACTGAGTACTGGGTATTGTCGTCTCTGCCATGGGAAGTTCTCCTCCAGGAGCCTTCACAATGCTTTCGGGAAGGTGTCAGTGATGGGGGAGAACTCGGAGAAGCAGTGCTGTGTGGATCAGGTCTTCTTCATGGACTTCCAGCGGCTGGTCGGCGTGGCTGTGCGGCAGGACCCCACGCTCCCCCAGTTTGTCTGTAAGAAGTGCCATGCCCAGTTCTACAAATGCCAAAGCATCCTCAGGACCTTCATCGAGAGGGTGAACACATCTCCCACAGATCACGCAAAGTCCAAAGGAAAGTATGTTGTTTTTCTTGCTTCCCGGGAGCAGTAAGTTGCCATGTGTTGATGCCTCATCCCTCCATAACCCCTGAGACCCCACCGTGCTGTTCTGGGTTTTACAGGAGCAGCATGGTCCAGGCCCAGCTGGGAATGGAAGGAAGTACCTCCTGCATGGGTGAGTGCCTGCCCCCTTCCCCTTCCCCCTTTCTTTCTCCCTTTTTTCTCCTTTCCCTTTCTGTAATGCCATCAGCACAGGTCTGGGGTTTATGGGTGTTAAGGAACTCCCCAAGCAGAGCTGCACAGATGCAGGCTCATGCTGGTGGTATGAAGAGTAGGCAGAGAGGGTTTGGGCAGCAGCACCAGGCCTGTCCCTGCCACTGTCAGACATGGGGGACAATCAGAAATACACTTTCCACTATATAATTAACAATATTGGCAACTGCTGGGGCTGCCCCAGCCCATCTTTAGGGGGTCTCCCACCTGCTGTCTCCCACAGCCTTGGGGGAGTGGGTCCGCAGCCCTGTCCCCTCCTGGGGAGAGTGTGTCCCTCCACATGGGTGGCTGTGTCCCTGGTTATCCCAGGGACTGACTGACTGTGCGTGTGCTGCTTCTCCTTCCAACAGTTGACCCGATCACATCCAGCCTGCAGTGCCTGCACAGTCTGGTGTCATGGACGCACAGACATGCTGGGAGCTGCGCATCAGTGCCCAGCCTGCAGAGCGTGCTCTCCTCTGAGTACTGTGGCATCATCCGTGCCATCTGGGGCTGCAGCAGTGGCCACGACTACATCATGGACACAGATTCGTACTGTAGCACGGTGCTTGTCAACAGCACCTTGTCTGTCAAGCAAGAGTGGAACAAGAACAAGAGCACAACACAGCACTTAACTGACAATGGGGCAGAGGCAGACAATGCCAAGGCTGTTTCTGCTCCCAAACCCCAGCATGCTTCAGTAAGGACAGCTCCTCACCAGCAGCCTGCAAACAAGGGGACCACATCAGTGCCACTGAACATGAAGAATGAGTCCCTGCAGAACAGGGATTCATTTCACTTGCAACTGGACAGCATGGTCTCCCTGCAAGAGACAGCCCTGCCGCAGCCTGCGTCACCACTGAGCAGTACTACAGGTAAGGGATTTGCCTTCTTATCTCCCCCCAGGCATCTGCGGAAGGGCAAGGAGGCGCAGAGCTGGCCCAGGGAGTGAGCAGTGGTGGGGCTGGACCCCCTCCCCAGAGACTGCCATGATGCAGAGCAGTCATTGGTTCTCCAGCACCATATTTGCCAGGTGTTTCTGCTCAATCCAAGCCTCATCCATATGCAGGCAAGGAGGGGCTTCCTGCCCCACCTTGGGTGATGCTGAACAGAAGGAGCCCCTTCTCTCTGCAAAGGAAAGTTGCTGGGCTCATGAGTCAAGTTACCATGGATTTACTGCTGAACGTCACCCCCACGACCCCAATACCACTTCTAGAAGAGAGGAATTAAATTAACACTGATTCTAAGTTACAGAAATCAGGCTGTGTTTAGCTGTGACAGCCACTGCTGGAAAGGGGAACGGCAACTGGGACTCCCTGGGGGATGAGTCTTTTGGGTGTCATGGGGGAAACCGAAAGATGTTCAGGGGAACTGCAGGGTAAAGGCTCCCCCATCCTTGAGCATGAGACATGAAGTTTGGTTTAAATAATCATTAACTTGTCATGGAATGCATACTTTGGTGTGGGCCATGCTGAGGGAACCTGAAGCATCCAGTTCCTTCCTGGCAGCTGTCTCCTCTGGCTTCGTTTTGCTGCTTTTCCTTTTAACGCACCGTGTTCTCCTTCATTCCCTAGGACAGTTGAGTGGGAAGCAGATTCTGTCCGCAACATTGGATGAGCGGGTAAAAGACGAGTTCAGTGACCTTTCTGAGGGGTGAGAGAAGAGTGGGTTTAAAATAGCATAAATGTCTTCTTTGCGAGTATGACCTGGTCCACCTCGGAGAGCTCTTTCTCCATCAGTGACCTGGCCCTTGAGGCCCCTTGGAACCAGTGTTGGAGGCACAGAGCAGTGGCTCTGCAGTGGTGGGATGGAGTTCACACCACTGACATGCTGAACTTGCCACCTGCACTGCAGCGGGGGGGGGAGTTTGCACAGTGGGGTGTGTGGTTTTGCATGCACATGTGCTCTCTGTGTTGTCTGCTCCCAGCAAACTTGGTCCTGTTTCATTCCCTGCTCTGGGGAAGGAACAACGTAGGGACTTGCTCAGGCCTGGATCCTTCTGCTCCAACCCCTTGGAGCAATTCTCCTTCATGGCTACTCCAGGCTGGGGCTCCAGAAGAGCAGTCAGTATGAGGGGTGGCACTTGGAGAGTGATTAAATGGGAGGTGGGAGGGACTCTGTCAGCTTAGCAGTCTTTATGATCAAAGATTTGGCTAAATCCTTCAAACATTGGTATTTAAAGTGAGGCTTGTAAATAACTGAGAACTGGGTCCAGTCATTCAGAGTCTAAAGTATGGCTGAGTGCAGATTTATTTTAGCATGTTAGCTAAATCCATTGGTTGTCACATTAAAAGTGCCACAATAATTTATTGCCTGTTTCTTGGCTTCAGAATTAGTTGCTTCTTGTATGGCTTAGGACTTAAAAGGAGGAAAAAGTAAAACCCAAACCTATGTGGTTGCTATGTATGAGGAAATACAGAATGACTTGCAGCTTAATTAACCTGCACCAGACAATTATATTACATTTTGATCTAGAAAATTACTTTCCCAGTATTGAAAATGGTGGCAGCATCCCTCAACAACCAATAGACCTTTTCAGTAACATCTGTTTTTTGTTCTCCTGACAGAAGTTCAGTTATTCTTACAGAGATCTAGACCTAAAAGAACCCAAATTTACTATTTTCTGTGTGCACCAGTGATGTATTTGCTAGGGGAGCTTATGGGGGAGGAGGACACGTGGAACCTCAGCTGCCATGCTGTGGGGAAGATGGATGTGCTGGGAATGGAGAACACGTGCTGCTGCTGCAGATGCTGGTGCTGAAGTACTAGGGTGGTGCTGTGTGGGTTAAGGGCATCTTCTTTCTCTCAGGGACTTCTTGAGTGACGATGGAAACGAGAAGAGAAATGTGCAGTCTTCAGATGACTCCTTTGAGCCTTACCCTGAGAAGAAGTAAGGGTCTTGCAGTGTGGTGAGCAGAGCACTCCATGGGTGAGCGGGAGGGCTGGTGCCCACTCCACAATAGGCTCTGCTCAGCTAACGCTGTGTTCCTTTGGGGCTTCAATTTCTTGCATGTTCCTGCTTGGAGGTCACGGTGATGCCCCTGTGTTCCATGAGCTGCCTGTCAGGCCTGAACTCATTCCTCAGTTCTAGACCCACAGTTCAGCTTGTGCACATGCTCCTGCTTTGCCAAGCATCAGGCAAAGCTGTCAGACACTCAGGGACAATTAGGTGGGAGGACTAAAACCAATATTAAGTATTGAACCACTGTCCTTGTTCCTTCTTGGAGTATTTCTAGCAAGAAAAGCAACGTCAAAGAAGTAAAGAAGGCAGAAGAGCCCAAAACAAGGAAGAAGCCAGGTCCTAAGCCCAGCTGGAAAAAAAAGATCAAGTGTGAGAGGTAATAAGGAGGTGGGTGGCTGGGCAGTGCCTCTGCTCAGCACGCTGGCTGATGGCAAGGCTGTGCTTCATAGGGAGGAGCTGCCGACCATTTACAAGTGTCCTTACCAGGGCTGCACAGCTGTCTACAGAGGGGCCGACGGCATGAAGGTGAGTCAGGGTTTGCTCCTTTCCCAAACCTGTAGCTTTGAGTACTACAGAACCACTTCCACATAAGGAGAGGGTCCCCGAGATTTAATTCACTGCCTTGCTCTGCAGGAGGCAGAGTCCCTGGTTTCTCACAGTTAAGCAGCACTGATGCATGAGCCTGCTAAAATGGTTTTTGAGGGATTCAGGTTTTTGGCGGCGGGAAATACAACCCAGTGCTTAAAAGCTTTGTCCTTTCTTTACAGAAACACATCAAAGAGCATCATGAAGAGGTACGGGAGAGGCCCTGTCCTCATCCTGGTTGCAACAAGGTGTTCATGATTGACCGGTACCTACAGCGGCACGTGAAGCTCATTCATACAGGTGTGTCCTGGCTGGTGACAGGCATCACAAACACCCAACACTTGATTGCACAAGGCTTGTAGGTGCTGTGGCAGGACTCTGAGTGGGGTTTAGAACTGTCTGTCTTGCCTGTAAACCTGGAGCAAGCCATTGTGTGGGGGATGTGAGGCAGAGGGAGGAATTCAGACTCCAGCAGTAAGCGTGGGCAGCTGCACATGTGCATTTCCTGTACTAAGAAATAAGCAGAATTGATGACTCTTCAGTTTTCCATTGCAGAGGTACGTAATTATATCTGTGATGAATGTGGGCAGACCTTTAAGCAACGCAAACACCTCTCAGTCCATCAGATGCGGCACTCAGGAGCAAAGCCCCTTCAGTAAGTGCACACCAACCTTGCTTTCATAGCTGAGAGAAGGGTAGTGAAGTTCTGCTGAGCCCTCACAGTCACTGACCTTAGCCCAGAGTGATTCTGTAGCCTAAACCCTGCCAGTAGCTGGTAGTGTCCTGGCTGAATCACTTTAAATGTTCATCTACAGTGTGCATCCTGTTGTTGAGCAAGTTTTACATATCCTTCTGATCCTGTTGCCCTTCTGAGTTCAGCAGGGGAGTGCTCAGCTATCACCAGTAAGCTGCAGGCCTGAGGAGAAAATCATGTTGGGTGACTGGGGTGGTTGTAGGAAATACTACAAAGCTGTGGCTGTCTTGTGGGCTTATTCAGTGCAACAAGGAGCAAGTGCCACAACCATGGCTTCAGGCTTGGTGCTGAGCCCCTGTTTTGCCTTGCAGGTGTGAGATTTGTGGTTTCCAGTGCAGGCAGCGAGCATCACTCAAGTACCACATGACCAAACACAAAGCTGAGACAGAGCTGGAGTTTGCCTGTGACCAGTGTGGGAAGCGCTTTGAGAAGGCCCATAACCTTAATGTCCACATGTCCATGGTGCACCCTCTCATCCAGGTTCGGGACAAAGCTAAGCCACTGGAGCCAGAGCCTATTCTCCTCCTGAATACTTCAGGGACTTCAGAAAGCCAGATGGTAAAGCCAGAAGTGACTGCACAGCAGGAGCACACCTGAGGGGGATGGGGAAGCTTTCCCAGTCCAGCCCTGTAGAAACCATATGGCAGAGCAGTGGCTTTTAATCTATGTTTTAGTCTCCCAGAGAACTCAGTGAAATTAGCTTCAGCTTGCTCAGAAAAAGCTTGTCCTCATGCTGTGATTATCCATGCCCATGTCTGATTCAGCAGTGTTCTACTGAGCATCTGTCTAACCCCAGGGGAATGGATGTTCAGCAGCATCCCTTCATAGTCTCCTTTCTCCCCATGCACACAGCTATAAGTGGCCAGATGTGGCTCCAAGAGTGCATAGGACAGTGGAGTGGACTTTAAGCAGACTTTTTTTCTGGATTAAAAAAAAAATATTCTCAAAATGAAGTCTAAACTGAAATTTGTAACCTACTTTTTATTGTAAAAAAAAGCTTCATGGTTATGCTTGTAATAAACTATTTACAAAAGTAATGTGAAAGGAACAGCAGTAGTGAAGAAGGTAACACCTTATCTGGTCCTTCAGCCATAGGCAGGGTATTCTGCACTTGCTGGGCCATGTGCTGCCTACTGCCCTGCCTGTCTCTCAGAACAGGTCAGCTCTTTGTCCAGCTTCATGGCTGCAGTAGGCCTCAAGACCTGTAGGAGGGTGGCTCCCAGCTTTTGGTCAAGTTCATCACAAGTGGCTAGTAGCTGGGGAAAGAGGGTGAATAGCATTAGACCTGCTCATGTTCCTCAAAAGAAGGCCAGAACATCTTGCTGCTTCTCAAGAGTGCGGGGTTTGTGGGAGACTAGCACCTGCCTCTTTGCTTGATAATTTCTCTCAAGAGTAAGCATTTAGCAGTGGGAGTGAGACTGTGCAAGGGCAGTGTTTAATGTTGCTGAGAAAGACAGAGTCTGTAGGCCAGTTGAGGGAGAATATAGCTATAGCAGTGGTTGAGCAGCAGGTGTCCTCCACTGCTCCCAAGTGGGTTACAGAAGCACACTGAGTGTGTCACAGGCCCAGCATACAGCACCAGCACAAGCACAGGAGCAGTGCCCAAGAAAGGCTACATGTGTTGGGAGAAGGGGAAGGCAGGGAATCTCAACACACCAGTTATGTATTTCCAAAGCTTTGGTCAGGGTATGGTGGGATTGCTCCAAGCAGAAACTGCCAGGCCATGGAGATCACCTCCAAGGAGGGATTCTCCTGGAGAACAAGAAGTGACACAGCAAGTCAGGGTCAAGCACAATGTCAGTTACGGCTCTCAGTCTCTGCCTTCAGAAGTGAAAACGGGAACTGCTAAGCCATACCTAGGGGCTGTTCACAAGTTAGGCAGATCAATACAGCCACTCTGAGATCCTGTACAAGTAAGGCAGTTTTGGGCAGCAGCTTCTCTAAGCCCTAAGGCCTGAGAAAGCTGCTTGCCTGCCAAAGCAGTTGCACAAGCTCCCTTTGCCTTGTATGGGAAGGGGGAAAGAAGGGGGATGCTGCAAGTGGCAGGAGAAGGGATAAAGAAGAGGATTCATGGTTCTCTTTCAAGACAAAAAAAAAATTGAAAAAAAAGAAGACTGTGCTTAAGGCATATGCTCTGTAGGGCCTGGGCTCTGGCCCACTTGGTCAGATTGCAGCAGGTCTCCCACAAGGAGTGGAAGCAGCTGGATGTACAAATCGAGTGCCACATAGAGGAAGGTCTATTCCTGAGTGAACAGCTCCTGGTGAAAGCATGGGGTGAGGCTAGAGAAGGTCACACATTCCAGATGTTTTCCTCCTTAATGACTTTTCCTCCAGACTCTCCCAAAGGCAGACTATGAGAGCAACTGATTATGTTTCACTGGAATCTATTCCCTGATCCAGTCTGTAGGTGACTACACATGGCTGCACTTCAAAGCTGTGAAGACAGCAAAGGGACAGAAACAGGCATTCACAGGCAGGAGGGTGCTGTTCCAGAGTTTGAGGATTCCAGGTGAGAGAAAATGAGAGACAAATAGAGAACTCTCAACTAGTTTATTAATATAGGGAAATATAGAGATAGTAAAGGATAGTCAAGGATACTTCTGATGTTTGCTTATCTTACCACCCCCAAGGACCCTGTGAAGATGATCATGAAACCAGCTGCGAGAATCATCATCACAGTGCGAGGTGGCAGGCTCAACCTTAGAGGGCATACCCGCAGAGGCAGCATTGACCTGGGTGGTATGAGGTTCTGCCTGCCCCACATCACATGAGACTCGGGCTTTTATACTGACAAAAATGCACGCTCATTCCAACGCAGGGGCCCAGCCTACGACAGAAGAAGTTGCCAGCTATATCTAGAAAGGTGTCCAAGGGTCGAGACCTACACGTTGGGCGCCATTTGCTGGAGAAATATATGGACTCAGTCAGAGATCAATATGATCAGACAAAAGACGTTTATTGCTAAGCCTTAACTCCTTATATACTGTTTCTTACATGCAATTACAGTGATTTGGCATATTATGATTGGATACATGTCTTGAAGACCCTTAGTGACTAACATATAATTGGTTAAGCACAGGTGTGAGAACTTGACCTCGAAAGCTTGCCAACAGTCCACAGTTCTCATAACTCAGTGAATTCCAACTTCTTCTTATCTTGCTTGCTTAAGCTTCCTTGGGACTCTCATGGCCTTGCTGTATCTTTTGGGATTATTCAGAGTTCATGTACCAATTATCCATTCTCCCGTGAGAACACTGTCTCCACATCTCCCCCTTTTAGTTTTATATATCTTTTGGATGACCCTACTTGAGCAGGGGATTTGGGCTAGATCGTATCTCCAACATATGCCAAATACAGGCTGCTGGGCCTGCCCTTTTTCTCCTGTATGGCTCTCTGATAACAGGGGAGGTCATCCTTCACATCAAGGTCTGGCATGGCATGTGTCCCCACCGCTCCACGCCTGCTGGGTTGCAGCCAACAGCGAAACTAAAGGTTCTTCTTGGTGGCAAACACAGAAGCCAACCCAGTCTTGCTCTTGACTGTGGTAGCAGGCATTTGGTCAGCCTCAGTCCTTGCACCTTGTTGTCGATGCAGAGTTTCACCTGCTTCATTCAGTAATAAGTCGCTACTATGGCAAAGCACACACAGATTTACATTAGCAGAGTAACTATTACAGGGTGCAGCAGCATGTTGAAGATGCTGATGGCAGCAAGGGACTAGCCAAAGAAATTTCTTATCAGTGGAGTTCTCCCCACCTCTTAATTTGTTCCATTACCTGCTTTATAACACTACCATTGTATTAGAATCTTTCCAGCTTTTGCCTTAGCATTTTCTAGCAGCTACTGCAAATTTGCATGCTCTAACATCTCTTTTACAAGTCACAAATCTATACAATACAAGGTGTAGTTTCTTATCAGCAACTGGCTAGTAAATACAGGTGGTTTTATACACAAAATCACAGCCTCTAATAATAGCTACTTTACAAGCACACATATTCAAGCTGTTACTTTTCAGTTGCCCTCAAATGATATTTTGCAATCATTTGTTTTCCTCTTCCTCTATCTCATTCTGCTTGGGGTATTCATGGTCAGCTCCTGTAGCTGAGGCATCAGGTTCCTCCATTCCTCTGTCCAGCTTATGGCAAGGCTTGACAAACTTCTCAGGCAGTCGCCATGGACCTGTAGGCAGGAGGACACAAATACACCCCCTCCTCCTGGTTATCAGTTCTTGAGAAGTACACAGGTTAAACTGCACACTGTTAACAGTCAAGGAGTTTGCTGCATCATTGCCCTTTTTTTTTCTTTTTTTTTTTTTTTCTCTTCCACCCTGATGTTCCTTAGGTGATGGCTCATAAAGCTTGTGGTTGCACTACCCATCTTGCTTTTTCAGCTAGCAGTTCCTGTTTCAACCGATCTATCTGTTCCTGCAAGTCTTGGATTCACACCCAGGTTACTTTAAATACACTAAGCAAGGCTCCTACCATGCACCCAGCTTGTTGCAGGCACTCTTTAGGCTTTGCTTGTGGTGTCTCTACAAGCTGCCTCAATACTTCAATAGATCGAGAGGTTTGTTGTGTTGTTTTGTTTTGTTTTGTTTGTTTTGTTTTGTTTTGTTTTGTTTTGTTTTGTTTTGTTTTGTTTTCTCACTCCTCGGCTCTGACCTCCATCCTGGCCATTCCACTGGTGGACCACTGGGATCTGAATCAGAGGGCAGCTTCTTTCGAACATGGGGACCAAACTCTCATCAAATACCCACGCCGGCCTGCTCGGCAGCAGCTACAGCTGCCTGTCTGCTTCAGCAGCAACCATAAATACCTGCCGGCAACCGCACTTTTGCATTAACCCTTTCTTGCCTGAAATGTTAAACTGCTACCCATTAAAAACTTTTATATGAATCCAACAACAAAAAAATACACAGAACACTGTCTGCCCTCATCACACACACACAAGTATGGGATCCCACAAGCACACTCCACACAACTACAATATTTGAAGCACAAAATCCAGACAATCGTTACACCCATTACACAATCCCACGTGCAGAACGTGGCACAAGGACCCTGTGGAGACTAACAAGAAACCAGCTCTGAGAAGCATCATCGCAGTTCGAGGTAGCAGGCTCGACCTTAGCGGGAGTCCCGGCAGAGGCTCTGCCTCCCTCACATTGCATGAGGCTTGGGCTTTTATACTGACCAAAATGCACACTCATTCCGACACAGGTGGCCAGCCTATGTTGGAAGAAGTGGCCAGCAATATCTATAAAGGTCTCCAAAGGTCGATAGAAACATGACATACCTATATTTGCCAACTTCTAGTACATGAGTATCACAGAGAGACTGTATCAAATGAGTTGTATAGGGAGTCCCAAATCCATCGTCTGCCAGTGTCATTGCCTTTTGTAACTGCATCCCACAATTTATCTCCTGCACCATTCCACAAAGAGATCTCAAATACGCTAGACTCATCAATCTCTGGATAACGTGTCTTCGACCATTTCAACATTAAATTTAAGTCTGTCTCTTTAAAGGTTACTCCCTTCACCTTAAGAAGGACTGAAAACATCCATAAAACAGAGGCTTCTTCCTTAGTGATTTTTTCCCAAGTTCCAAGCTCAAAGGCTTCATTAACTCCCTGGATCAGCTCTTTTTCTTTACTCCAGAGCAGTAGTCTTTTTGGCAGATTATCATCATACTCTATCCCTCTTGCTGAGAGGATATGCTGGTAGAGCTTAAGGATGGCCGTTTCTTCTTTATGTAATTGATTTCCCATCCTAATCCTCTTCCAGACCCATCGGCTGTTACCTTATTTGCACTGCGCAGTGTCTTCCAGGCTAACAAGGCTCTGTTC